TGGTGGGGCAACCGAATGAGCAATGCTGAGGTCAGGCGCAAAGTTTTGGGCAACCGCGCTCGCCCACTGGAGTAAGTGGTCGACCTCCATAGATTACGTTTTTTGGGGTATATGTTACGCAAATCACCAAATAGGTTCCCAGCTTATGGCCGTGGAGGACGTGTGTTTGAATATCACCACCACCACCACCACCACCACCACCACCAATGCCGCCAACAAACTTTCCCAATTTTCTATGTGAAACAGCTCTTCAATTAATCGCCTTACCTTTGCTTAAAGTTGGTCGGATCATCATATATAATCGATAACAATATAAATGATGGGAACAATGAGAAATACAAGAAAACGGACTCAAAGCTGCTTTAGGCAATCGGGGAATCATGCAGTGAAATTTGAATCACAATATGATTCTCTCCTAATACGAGATAGGTAGTAGTCTGAATGCGGTGATAATGTGACCTCTCATACTTGTACTATTGACCACTTGTGTTGTATGACAGTCGATATGTACCAAAGGTAAAGATTACGGTAGGAATGATATCACTCACAAACGGAGTGCTTCCCAGTGTATCAACTCAGTTGGGGTTGCCTTAAAGTTTGTACCGTGTTCTGCAACAGTTCACCTTCACATGGTTGTTCCGACAGATTTGTTTACAGACGGGTCCCTGTTTGATCTGACAGTCAGGGACCCACTTTTTGTAATTCGTTCGTGAATCCCATATCCTATTTGAATAAATACAGATTTATGTCCAGTAAAACCGCCGACTGGAAACAACGTCAACCATACGGCGCAGTAGGTGTGTATATTTGGAATTGGAATACCAAAGAAGGCATAGTGGTACAGTTTAATCCCTTCGGACAAGCAGGGAAATAAACCGATCGAGTACCGTCGACCTTATGCAGACCCATGGAGATCAGCCGACGAGTGATCGAGCGCACTATCATACAACCGGTCACTTTAAGTGTGTCTGGAGACACACGTCTTTCATGGTGATGTATGTCGCACCGCCCTCACAGATGTGGAAATCGATACAAGGATTCCCTGAGAGCGGTTATTAGAGGTTCTCTACATAAGGTTTTGGTGGGGTTACTGAAAAAATAACAGCGCGCTCTATCCGGAGGTACAAGCATTGCAACTGCGCCTTAGGATGAAATCCAAGTTCCTGTTCACCCTAAGATTGGTCTTCATCGACATCTATAAATGTGTGTACAATAAGCAGTGTCTGCATGACTGAACACAGCTTCCTCGAGTACACTGGACCTATTTTGTGGTGACTGTTACGCATATTAGAAATATGTATCCCGTGATTCTCGGCCAAATCAATCATTGACCATGGATGGTAGTTTTACCACAAATTTCTAATTCGCATCTGTCGGAATAGTTCTTTCGATGATCGCTGATCTAGATGGCCACGTAGGAAACACTGTTGCCGTTCTATGCTGCTTTTGTCGGGGAATGCACATGAGAAGTTGTCAGGAAGAGCCTTCCCTTCCCTTGAGAATTCTCGTGGCTTGCATTTGAAATGGATTGGAATCAGTCGCAACCTCGAAAACGTCCCAGTGTTTTCTCAGGAGTCTTGGATTCGTTTGGCTGGCACTACCAATAGACATTTGCACCGTTTGCAACTTTCTTTTAACTGGGATAAACAACAGAAGTACAATAATAGGATTAGGGTTTACTCAATACGCATACCTGAGAGCGAACATGCTTCCGAACAAATTCAAATAATCCCATGTAATAGGTACTTAGATTTGGAATATTTCTAATCGAATCATAATTTGTTGGAAGGCGGTAAAAAGTAAGTCCTGGCCAGCGACCGAATCAAGAATGGGGTTCATCCGAGCAGACGCGCAGACCCAGCGGCGGGAAGTGCCTCGCGAGACAATGTTGACTGCCTCCCTAAACGAGCGAATTGACAATTACAGCTCGACAGACAATGCGCAACTAACCAGAAAGATATTCACCGAATGCCACAACGTCGGAGCTGTCGATCAACGCATCTCNGTCCGAATGGCACGCGGAAGAAGACGCAACGTACGTCCCAAATGCGGACCAAAACCAACAAGAAATGACCCACATAATGAGGCATGAATCATCCTGCCGCGCGGTTGAGAATTGATGGTATATAATCGAACGCATACACCGCTTGCTTTTGAATTGGATCAATAGACGTTTTTCCCAGCCAGCTCGCCTTTTCGCTACAATAACCCTCAAAGTTAGTGCTGAGATGCGCGAAATATGACACCACCAAGAAGTTTTCCAAAATGATTTGTACTATACTGTGTACAAACGGAATGAGAAATCGGTCCGCCCATCTGTCCAGCCGTCTACTGGGTAGTACGCTTACGTCTACCTGTGAGGTCCATGGATATAACAATATTTATGTCAATGGATTTGAACTGCTAATTAGACCCAGCTTAGTTGAAACAGCTATCCGGTTCTTTCTATCCTCTCAGTTCATCACAAAATTTAACTTTATTTAGATAATAATTATGACATGATACACTAAATCGATCTCAGCATCACAGGTTTCATGGAACACTTGTCTCAGTTGACCCTCAAAATTGAACGTAGAATCCGGCTTTAATTTATACTTGGACAGATCGAAAAGAACTTGTGTCAAACAGCTACGCCCAGAGAAGAACAATAACCATTTGTGAAGAAATATTCACAGAAATAAATGATATTAATGGTAACTAAATTGCATATTGTTTAGTTAACTGAACAGAATATTTGTCTCACTTGCAAGTTTTTGGATCACATCCAAAAATCCAAGTTATAAACTAGGTAGAAAAAATCCGGTCCTCCTTTATTCAACTGCGCCTAACCTCAGGAGTTCTTACCATGGATTGATGGTCAGCTTAGCAGTGGACAATGCTCCAGTGGAAACCGGTCGTCGTCCACGATCAGCAGAACTTTAATTAGCTTTTCTTTTTTTACGAATTTCTGATTGAGCTACTCATCAAGTAGTCAGAATGAAATAGGCTCAGAAATTGATCATATATATTAGCTCGAACCAGTGGTGATGCACCCTGTTTGATAGTTCTGTTCATTATGTCGTGCATTTTGATATCTGGTTTCATTTGAATTCATGACATGGCAGTGTGTTGTTTTTAGTCTAGTTATTATTGTAAATGTGTATTTCTGTTCGACGCACATCAGGTACACACATCACATGTTACTTGAATCGACGACGGAATTCTTCCTGGCCTACAAGGACCGACCGCGTTTCAGTTTGACCTTCCTCAGCGAGATGATCCACGAAAATTCGGCTTATGTGTCCATATTGGATAGTGATGTGGCCAGATTCCTTGACAAAATACATAAGGACGATGTGCTCAGCAACTCGCATGTCCGAATGGACAAAGCTGAGCATGTCTTTGCGAACACCTTGGTGATATTGTTCGCCGATCACGGACCACGAATGGGCTCAGCTCGATTATCGGCACAGGTGAGTTACGGCGTAAACTTTAGTCCATGCTTTAGCCGAGATATTTTTACGGAGACGATCACGTGATTTCAAGACCTAAAAACCTACGCCGTGAACCCATGATTCTTAATTGGCACCTCGATTCGCTGCCGTTTTTTTAGATGATATGCAGCTGTGCTTCAATAAAACTGCCCGTTTATGAAGACTATTCTTCATCAGGCTGTGATACGTATTCACAGTGAGACTAAATATGTCAACAATACTCCACCCCCCCACACAAAAATCTGTAAGCTAAGCTGGGTCGTATGAATCTTGTCAGGGGGTATAGGATATTTCGTATCTAAACTGTTCTGGAATGTCTGTCGTGGCCCGACCCGTTAGCTAGAACAGTTTATGTTTAAGCGAATACTTAGGAAATCATGCCTTTACAAACACATTTGGCCTCTCCAAAATCCATTACCTGTTCTCTACCGGTTTCAACAAGTGGCGTAAAATCTCCGTGAATGATAAACCCTACTTCAGATGAATAAAATCTTGTGTAGCTGAAGCGGTAAGACGATTGGGGGCCATACGATTATGTGATGGTCAGTAAACAGTGCTCGTTGGACGTTATCTGACTCTCATACACAACGATCGCTCTACACGACTGGAAATCAAAACACGGCTGTTTGATAACGGTTTCCTCTTGATTCTCTTCTCCAGTCGACATGCGTAAGGAGCAGTAAAATATCTAACTTGGGTGAATTTTGCCCGATGGTTTGCTTCTATGACATTAGTCATGCAACAGAACCAAGATCACTTGCATGCAAGACTGTGTAACATGGCGCTGAGTCCTTATTTTTTTCATTTGTCTTGTTGGAGGGTGTGAGAAAGCCGTAACAGATATTGAAAGTGGTCGATACATCCACCCGTTTATCTTCAATTCAACAGTCCAAGGATTTTGATTCGCAATCACGATAACATGATCTGAATGTCAAAACAATCAGTAACAAAACACACACAGGCTATTCGATGCGTATAAATGATCAGTTCTTTTTCCGATACAACTCTGGGTAGGCTTTGATCGCCGAGATGGCGAATTTCGTCGGACATCCAATGCTCACCTTTGCAATGGACGCTCTTCTTCTCCGTCTGGTCAGACCACGTTCTCTTTTCGTGAGGAAATTCGGAGTTGGATTCCATTTCCCTCTTGACTATGCTGTCTGTTCCTATCCTGACTCGTTCAATCTTTTAATCATAACGAGATTAAACATCTTGTAACGTACTTCTTGGCTTTTTTCCACCTTCTTCTTTCTGCTGCATACCACTAAGGATCGCAAACAACCCAATCACTCATTACTCCTTTTTGATCTGATATTTTTTCGAGTTAGACCTTTCCCGAAACCGTTTTACAGGAGCTGAACGCAAGCTGATATCGCCTCTAATAACACACTTCATGTCGACCGTCACCTATTCAATTTAATTATAAACACAAAACACAGGAAGCCAATAAGTGGTTCCCGATGGAGTGATTTACACCAGACACAGGATTTAACTCTAAATTAGCTTTTTTCATTCACTTTTCACCTTGTCATTTTCCCAATCTGGCAATTAGCCAATTCTCTTTTTATTCTGTCTTGCTCACTCTGTCTCTCTCTTTCTCTATTTGTTTTCCATAGTTTAGATGTAAACCACATTATTTGGAAAAATATTACAGCATAAGCCGTCTGTGTACAATCTCTTATCACACCAGTCTTCAAACCGGTGGTACGTGAAATATACCCCGTTCTCATCGTGTTGCGTGAAGCAGGAATGGTATCACGTGACACTTACCCAAGCACCAGCACTGTGCACATGCACGTGCCGAGAGGTTTTACTGCATTTTTTTTTAACTCACCCTAGTCAGTTTTGTATGAACATTTCAAATTTGGCACACCCATTTTCATTCCGGTGGACGTAAATGAGAGTGAATGTGTCTCCGTCCCTTGTCTACGACAATGTTGCGGATAAAATCACCGGGCAACATTTAGTACAGATAAGAAAAGCTTTGAAACCAATTTGGGGGATGAAATCTATCTATAACAACCTTGTTTGATTCACTCTTTCGCGAACTTGAAGGTCCACAACTGAAATGGCCTGTGATCTCTTTCACGTCCATGAACCAGTACTACTCAAACTATCTTCCCAATTTCCCACTAAATTCAGGCTCCTCAAATAAAGAAAATACGTAATTTGCTTCTAATGTCTTGAGGGAGTGAGCTTCGTACATGTCAGAATCGCTTACAACTGTGGTCACCGATATTCTGTCGTTTATTACGATTGATTTCTCTTATCAACTATTCCATTGCTGCGGACGATTTGTCCCTTTAAGTTCGCTCAGTGTAACTTGTTCTCTCGCTTGATTACTCTGGTTAAGTAGGCTTTAAATCTCCTATGTACCTCATAATTACGCTAACAAGTCCAACCAATTTTGAACTTCCGTTTGTCATTATCTATTTCGCTGCTCAGTTGGATCATTTAACTAGACTCTGCAATTGAATCTTTCATTAGATTCCAGCCGATTCTGAATAGAGGGTTAGACCTTTCCTAAGTGTTCAGAAACCTCTCCTGTTTTCTCTTTTTCTGGGTGTTGGGGGTGCAGTGGTTTAGTCGCTGTCACCAGCATGCTTTGGACTCTGTGGTCTGAGGTTTGAGTCCGGCCATCGCCACCCACCTTCGATTCTGGGCGACATTGCTGTTGTCCGATTCAATACCACGCCTAACCTAGTGGGGCCTTGTGTGGTTCGCCACTTCAAGTTCCGGGTATAAGTTACTCGTTGTCAACACTGAACAGCAGGTCTTCCGGATTATGGGATCCCATCTGCTCTTTATTACACAAAAACGTTTATCAAAAATCTTTGTTGTCTTCCATTTTCCGGTAACCTTCATTCATCTCGCATTATATCCACACATCAGGACTCCTGGCAGTTAGGCACAATATGTCCCGCGTGTCTGTTAATTCTTGGTTTAACCCCATTGTTAGTTAACTTATTCAGATGGCTCGTATTTTGTCTCTTCACGCTGTCCGTATTGACTCTGTTTGCGCATAAACTCGGTGTGCGCCTGTATCACACGTTCAACATGTGTTTCGGTTCAGATTGTGAACCGAAAATTCGCGACAGAACAATTTACATCACAAAGAAAATAGTCCATGATCTCCTGGCAAGCAGGAGGCTACCAGTTTGCCACGCCAAAGCAGATGAATGCTTTTGGAAAATTTACAGTCAGAGACTTTGGCTAACCGAAGCCTGATCAGCAAGGCAATGTGGCGGTAGATGAAAACCGCAACTTGTTGGAGGTAGGCGTCCTCTTCATCGGATCAAACGTCTGAAGCATCCAGTCTCCCTCGATACCCAATCTAATCGGTGATCACCGCCACAGTCCAGTCGGCGTGGGTGGAGTTCATACTCCTTTTCTAGATTGGTTTAGACTCAAGTCTTTTGGTTAATACACAGAGGTGAACTGCCATTAGTTTACTGACCCTCTCATAGCCCTGGATATTGGCTTTTCATCCTCTCGCTTTGGGGGCGGGGGGGGGGGCAGGCAGCGTCACGTGGAGGCAATGGGCATCGCTGCCTTAACAGAGACTATCCGCAGTCATATAGGAGCTACAATGGAAGGTTGACCAGGCTCAATCCAAGACACCCAGCTCCAACTATACTGAAGCTTTTGGAGGTCATAAATCTGACATAATCCTGACCTCGGTGAAAAGACATGTTCCTCAAAATTTGTTTTTACCTTTCAGATGTCGCTTTTTTACCAGTGCTCGCACGCGCTTACATAAACACAGACTTCATAAGATTCCTCTCTCAATTACGTTAGCCCTCATCAGTGCATTTAAATTATTCCCGCTCCAGTTGTAATTCCGATTGTCGACCAAATCGATCCCATCAACACAGGACACTTCTATTCCCTGTCCAAATGTCCTGGTCAATGTCCTCGTCCGGTACGGTGATTTTGTTTCAAATGTACTCCTGAGCTGAAAACGGTGGACGAAAGACAAAACAACACAACAACCTTCGTCCATTACCTAACGGGGATAGAGAATCACCTTCGGAAAAGTGCACTAACGTACATCTGTTTTTTTTCGCACTCCGGTAACACTTTTTCAGCCTCACGTTTACACTTAAGCTTTTACTCAGTGACCCACCCGCTAAGTAACCGAAATTCAAAACCTAAACAGGAACACACAAAAGTGTACACCCGGTGCTTAGACAAAGCGAACAATTAAAGTCAGGCGTTTTCACAACGTGAAATGAAACAATTTTCATTATCTAATACTATCGGTCCCTCATACTTTATTTTTATAGAAAATAGCCAATTCATTCAATTAAAAATACACTCGGGAGGCAAAAAACCAGAGTTTTCACTTGAATACAGCGCATACTGAGCCATCTATTCAGAATGAAAACTCCAAAAATGATCGGAATTACTGAGTTACTTCATTTTCTGTGTTGCCACTCCAGTGGTTTTCCGGCAATAGCTGACCCGCCTACTAGAAGGGCGATACACATAGGATATCCTGATAACCTCATAATAGTCTTTCATGCAGGTTTTCGAATAAATACCCTCACTCAAATCTATCAGGCTTAATTGGTCTACTTCATTTCAGCGAGATGATGAGCCGGTCTCAAACTGTGGCTTCTCGGACGTGTTGATCTGAGACAAGTCAAACAATTTTTTTCCAATGCGGAATTCCGTAGATGCTTTTGAGTTCCACATTATCTCTGTTGTTCTTGCCGGTTCTAAACCAGATCTTAAGCTGTGCTCATTTATCTTCATTGGTATTGTTCAGGGGTAGGATTCGGTACTGTTGAAACACACAGTCGTTTATTCGGAACAGTTCATGGCTAAGACACCGTAGATGGCGCAGTTAGATGAGCAGTTTAATACAATGGGTGACGTGGCTTCGATATCTCACCGCTTCTGTTAAGATTTAATCCTATCATCGGACATTGAAAATATATCTTAGAAACTTACATTTCTGTTTACGTGTCTCTCTGAAGCTCAGTGGCTAGGACACGCATTCGTGTAAGAGAACTAGATTTTCGTACCTTTCATTAAAGGTACCTAACCTAGTATTAAACCTAGTATTTCCAAAGTTATTGCTTAAAGCTAATTTCTACTAGACGCTATAGCATATTGCTTGATTGCCTAGACACCATTACAACGATGTCGATTTAATGGCTTCTTTGTTTTCAGTTTGACCATTTAGACTCCAGGTACCTCAAGGATGGAAGGATTTAAACCAGTTCATTGCTGATCTCAAAATCGCTGGGTTACGTAGTGCATTTTACACGATCAGTGGCCAGTTGCAGGTTGGAGAGTCTGTTACTTAGTAATATAACATCATAAGTGATACCGGTTATAGGTCCTTCTTATATTACTACTAATTGCCTGAAATTGCTGATTAGCGACATTCAATTCGTGTACGATCGGCTGAACTTGATGATGTTTGTGCCTGACGGTGGCCTCTGAATATCGTTAATTTGCCTATCTTACAACACTACTCACAAGTAACTATGAGTTTCATCATAAATTGTTTTCAAATTATTTGGTTTTAAGTTTTATCATTCGTTAACAAAAGAAATGTTCATTGAACAGAATGCTGATACGAACATAGATTGCGTTTCCGGTGGTAAAATAAGTCAATCTTTAAAATTTTAGGCCAAGTCTCCATATACTGATTAAATCTGACAACCATCTGTCGTGATTTGGTTCTTTCAAAGTCGTGACACCGTCAATCGAGAAACACGGTTTACATATTTGTTCAACATTCATTGATTTATCCTTCACGTGGTTCTCTTTCTCGTTCCCTGTGTGTTTGTGATTAGGAAGCAAATTTGGAGAACAGTTGGTGTTAGAATCTAAGGGGACAATTTAGCAGTGCACTCATTGATCACCTAGAAGTACTCAAATATCAAACCAGTTGTCGTGAAATTTTTTATGCTATGCTCATAGACCACGGTGGTGCAAGCTTACAACACTGTGTGGTACCGGTTTATAGTTGTATCTGCCAAGCACTGTTGTTGCTATAAAATTGCCCATCATATTCTTGTTTTTGATCAAGTAGGTAGTTTTATCAGTCGATCGTGAGTCCTTCAGCAGTTCTCATGGTAATTGTTTGGATTGCTGCGCGTGAATTCAGAGATCTTATATATAGCCGGTTCTTTGTGATTTATTTTATTCAAACATCCATCCGAACAAGGATTCTGGTCCCCATGACTGATGAACAGGAAACCGTTTGACGGCCGGTTAAAATGTTCCCAGACTGAACTAAGAATCTATACAGTTCCATTTACTTGTTGACCAGAAATCTGGCAATTTGCTATCAAAATCCACTATTTTGGTTTTCTGATGTGCTTGGATCAAAGGTGTACTGTCCTATTGAGTAGCACTCATATATTTATGCCGAAATATGACTAGCAGTGTTCTATATTCTTGTCTCATTATTTCAATCAGACGAATTTGCGATTTAGACATTTTTTACTAGGTGAAACTGATTCAACTTACCTTCTGTGTTTCAGGGCAAGATGAATGAAAGACTTCCGTTACTGAGCTTTATTCTACCTCAACGATTGATTCGTGCTTGGCCGAAAGCACGCGAGGCCCTGCATCGAAACCGCGAACGTTTGACCACACTGTTCGATGTCCACATGACACTGAGACATCTACTTCACTGGCAGACACACAAATCAGACACGCGTGTATCGTCTGTGCCTAAACCAGCTGTCAGTCGAGGTAGTTCCCTGTTTGTGGAACTTCCGGTTCACCGGAGCTGTGCCGAAGCGCACATTCTACCGCAATGGTGCACGTGTTTGAACTGGTATCCGATCCGGGCTCGGTCGAGTTGGTCTACTCATATATTCTGTTCCCTATGGCCTTCATGGATTGAAGAAGCTGCACGTACTGTGGTTAGTAGTATCAACGCACAACTTGATGCTGTCCGCCGATTGGATCCCGGTGAGCTCCGGTGCAGTCGTCTCTATTTCCGTGAGGTAAACTGACATGTCATTGATTATACACTATTTCACTACCATTACTATTGTCTAATTCTGTTGATTCATCGTAAATATGCGCGTGCGTGAAACTCCAAGTTTGATCCAAATTCTTTTTTTTTTTCTATGTGTGCACGTGTAAGCATGAGCGAACTTAACCTGATGTACTTGCTCCAAACTGACATGATTGTCACGTGTGGTACTTGTGCTCTTCAATCGCCTGTCATAGTTTGAGCCCCCAATTGGACTGATCACAGGCTGTGGATGAATCACGCAAAAAAATAATTGGTGTCTGAAACAATTTGGTGTTTTTCATTAGTTTGTTCAGTTGACTCAAAGCTCACCGTGAGATGTGACTAACTGACTACGGTATAAAAATAATAACAAAAATAATGTGCTATACACGAGAAATGATATTACCATAACGAACCAATCTGTTACTTCTGTATCTTTTTAGTTCATAGGCCAGAACAAATCTACAATCACCAAAAAAACAAGTACAACACGATAGAGCCCAATGCGAGGGCGAGTCGTTTGGGTGTGAGTGTTAAATATATCGTTCATTACTGAACACATTGTAAGGGAGATTGGGGATTTGAATGCATCGTTTGATTTGCTCTCACAAATAACACGTAACGTTCCCTCATCCAGCGATAGGATTGATTCTATCAAGTGCTGTTTGGTGAATGCCACATCTGTCTGGTTTTTATTAGGCTTTTACATCGATCCGAAGGATCAGATGAACTTGTTCTGTGTGTGTGTGTGT